CCCTCTGAAAAGCCCTGCGGTTGTGGGCGGTGCATTTGCCATACCAGGCAGTGATACAGTCCGACAGGATGCTCTCAATTGTGTATCTGTAAAAGTTTGTGAGGGTTTTAGTTGTCAAGCCAAATTTCTTCAGCCTCCTGAGGTTGAAGAGGCTCTGTTGCGCCTTCTTCACCACACTGTCTGTGTGGGTGGACCATTTCAGTTTGTCAGTGATATGTAGCTACAGATACTAAGCTACAGGACTGTTTTCCTAGCACAGATTGGAATATGTTCTGGGAATCATCTGATGGCATTGAGGAGTATACCACATCAGTCACCGGCTTCATCATGCTGTGGGGATGTTTTTCAGTGGCAGGGACTGGGAGACTAGTCAGGATCGAGGGAAAGATGAACGGAGCAAAGTACAGAAAGATCCTTGATGAAAACCTCTAGAGCGCTCAGGACCTCAGACTGGGCCGAAGGTTCACCTTCCAACAGGACAACGACCCTAAGCACACAGCCAAGACAACACAGGAGTGGCTTCGGGACAAGTCTCTGAATGTCTCTGGCCTAGCAAGAGCCCGGACTTGAACCCGATCGACCATATCTGGAGAGACCTGAAAATAGCTGTGCAGCAACGCTCCCCATCCAACCTGACAGAGTTTGAGAGGATCTACAGAGAAGAATGGGAGAAACTCCCCAAATACAGGTGTGCCAAGCTTGTAGCGTCATACTCAAGAAGACTCAAGGCTGTAAAGGTGCTTCAACAATGTACTGAGTAAAGGGTCTGAATACTTATGTAAATCTTATATTTCCGTTTTGTAATTTTTTATAAATTAGCTAAAAATTCTAAAAACAAGTTTTTGCTTTGTCATTATGGGGTATTGCGTGTGTAAATTGATGAGGAGAAAAACAAAACAATTTAATCCATTTTAGAATAAGGCTGTAACGTAACAAAATATGGGAAAAGTCAAGGGGTCTGAATACTTACCAAATGCATTGTATGTATGATGATGAATCAACCCTATATGCGTCAGCAACCACAGCTAGTGAAATCACTGCAATTCTAAACAAAGAGTTGCAGTCCGCTTTAGAATGGGTGGCCAGTAAAAAACTATTCCTGAACATCTCTAAAACTAAGAGCATTGTATTTGGTACAAATCATTCCCTAAGATCTAGACCTCAGGTGAATTTGATACTGAATAATGTGGCTGGTGAGCAAGTTGAGGAGACTAAATTACTTGGTTTTACCTTGGATTGTAAAATGTAATTGTCAAAACATTTTTGATTCAATGGTTGTAAAGATGGGGAAAGGTCTGTCCGTGATAAAGAGATGCTCTGCATTTTTTGACACCACACTCCACAATGCTAGTCCTGCAGGCTCTAGTTTTATCGTATCTTCATTATTGCCCAGTCATATGGATAGGTGCTGCAAAGAATGACCTAGAAAAACTGCAGCTGCCCAGAACAGAGCGGCACGTCTTGTTCTTCACTGTAATCAGAGGACTAATATCAATAATATGCATGCCACTCTCTCTTGGCTAAAAGTAGAGGAGAGACTGACTGCATCACTTCTTCTTTTTATAAGAAACACTGTGTTTAAAAATTCAAAATAGTTTGCATAGTCAACCTACACACTGCTCTGACACACACACTTACCCCACCAGACATGCCACCAGGGGTCATTTCACAGTCCCCAAATCCAGAACAAATTCAAGAAAACATACAGTATTATATAGAGCCATGATTGCATGGAACTCCCTTCCATCTCAGATTGCTCAAGTGAACAGCAAACCTGGTTTTAAAAAACTGATAAAGAAACACTTCACGGCACAATGCCTCTCCCATGTTTGACCTAGATATTTTGTGTGTATATACTGATATGTAGGCTATGTGTGATGTTTTGAATGTATGTAGTTGGACTGTTCTTGTCTATTAATGTTCAGTATTATGTCATGTTTTATGTGGACCCCAGGAAGAGTAGCTGCTGCTTTCGCAACAGCTAATGGGGATCCTAATAAAATACCAAAGAAGTAGTTAGCCTTATGAAGAGTTGAGGTTGGGCTGAAAGGGAGTTGTCACAAACAGAAATCATAAAAAAGACTGCTTCATTAGATGTCAAAGGGGTTTCCTTTGTAGCAGCTATAGTGAGTTTCCCTTTCTAGTATTATTTCTTTCAGAATTCCCTCAGAGGGATATAGGATTTAAGTTGTACTAGCAGGAGTGATACCTGCCTTTAGCGTGCTAATGCTGTTTCCCCTGGTGGATAGCTCTCTGTGGAGAGATGCTTAGCTCGCTGACCTCAATCCACACACGCTGCATGGAGCGGAAAGACACACGGCCCAGAGGCCAAGCCTAGAGCAGCACACACACAGCGCGTGTGGTGCCAACACACAGGCACACTGCACACACGGACGCACACAGACACACACACGCTGACACATGAACACAAGCACAGTACGAACACACATGCACACAGCGCACACACGGATGTGTATACATGCACACACTCACACACGCAAAGCGTGCACAAGCACACGCTGACAAATGAACACATGTATTTTGGGTTTTACAATCTATATGCATGGCTCACCTTTACACTATTCATTCTACACTATACACACACACAGTCTGCTTTTGGCTGTCTGTCCCTGATGTGGTGTATTTTTCATTCTCAGGGAGCTGACACATAATATGGTTCCAGTCCAATTTGTTGTGGATGCCCCCCGCTGCTTCCCACAAATGGCTCCCAGGCAGGGCCTGTGTACAGGGCTGGCTTCTGAATGACACTGTTTGGCTGCAGTGTCTTCACCACCACTACATATTGCTTGCCATGCCAGCCCCACCCCCTTCCAGTTGTGTCAGTATCACTCTCCTGCCCTGTCTATCTTTCCTCAGGTTTAATTGAGCACCGGCACACACACAGGAGCAGGCACGCACACACAAACACACACACCACATCCAGCTGATGTTCAGGAGGGATTATGCAGTGTGTAGGAGATGTTGAATTGAGTTGACTGGGAGACCTGGGTCAGGGGGTAATCAGTAGGCCCGGACGATACCAGCGGATTTAACTTCTTTATGAAAACAGGCCTGATATTGGAACCAAACATTATTATGTTGTCATCCAGAGTCACATTTATTTTCCAAACTATAGCACATCATATTTTATATACAGCAGGTTTTTAAAATACCAAACACTTCGGTCTGCTTCGTGTTTAAATTTTTGCCATGGAAATAAATATTGAGATACTGTTATCGTCCCGGCCCTAGTAATCAGATTACATGGGTTAGGGTTAGGGTCAGTGAGTGGGGTGATGGAGGGGTTATGGAGGCTCCAGACGACCTCTGGGTTCAGGGAACAATGGTCTCACCCAGTGGGGGTTCCACATAAATACAGCATAGACCAAGAGTAAAATAAACACAATACAGAATGACTGATTGACTGCTGCTCTATGACATCAATACATGCATGATATGAATGCACCAATTTTTTATGTCGCTCTGGATAAGAGCGTCTGCTAAATTATGTAAATGTAAATATAGAGGAGGTTAAATGGCTGCTGCTATGTCAAGTTAGGATTCTGCCTTCTCTGTCATTAAGGGGAAGATTTATGCTGGAATCTAGAGCCATGTGCACTGGTTTGATGGCTCGGTCTCTAGACTCAGTTTCATTGGACAGGTGTGAAGAACTACACTGAACAAAAATAAATGCAACATGTAAAGTGTTGGTCCCATGTTTCATGAGCTGAAATAAAATATCCCTGAAATGTTAGTGAGCATTTCTCCTTTGCCAAGATAATCCATCCACCTGACAGGTGTTACATATCAAGAAGCTGATTAAACAGAATAATCATTACATAGGTGCACCTTGTTCTGGGGATAATAAAAGGCCACCAAAGCTGTTGTGCAGTTTTGTCACACAACACAGTGCCACAGATGTCAAGTTGAGGCAGTGTGCAATTGGCATGCTGACTGCAGGAATGTCCACCAAAGCTGTTGCCAGAAAATTGAATGTTCCTTTATCTACCATAAGCCACCTCCAACGTCATTTTAGAGAAACCGGCCTCACAACTTCAGACCACGGCGACTTGTGGGCGAGCGGTTTGCTGATTTCAACGTTGTGAACAGAGTGTCCCATGGTGGCGGTGGGGTTATGGTATGGGCAGGCATAAGCTACGGACAACAAACATCATTGCATTTTATCCCGATAGCGTGATGAGATCCTGAGGCACGTTGTCGTGCCATTCATCCACCACCATCACCTCATGTTTCAGCATGATAATGCATGGCCCCATGTCGCAAGGATCTGTACACAATTCCTGGAAGCTGTAAATGTCCCAGTTCTTCCATGGCCTGCATACTCAACAGACATGTCACCCATTGAGCATGTTTGGGATGCTCTGGATTGACGTGTACGACAGCATGTTCCAGTTCCCGCCAATATCCAGCAACATCGCACAGCCCACACAGAGGAGTGGGGCAACTTTCCACAGCAAATGGTGGTCATACCAGATATTGACTGGTTTTCTGATCAACGCCCCTACTTTTTTTTTTTAAGGTGTCTTTGACCAACGGATGCATATCTGTATTCTCAGTCATGTAAAATCCATAGATTAGGGCCTAATGAATTGATTTCAATTGACTGATTTCCTTATATGAAATGTAACTCAGTAAAATCGTTGAAATAGTTGCATGTTGCGTTTTATATTTTTGTTCAGTATATATTGATCTGATTGCTCAGTTAGATATAACCTGTCTTACCTGTCTCTAGCTATAGATAAAGAAGGTATCCTACAGCTACACTCTTATCTTGTCTGTAGATCATTGGGGTGATGTACAGCAGGGCTATGATCTGGTAGTTCAATCTTCTCTCTCCCTCTCCCTCCCCACCCTACCTCCTCTCACTCTCTCTCCCTCCCTCTCCCTCTCCACCCTACCTCCTCTCACTCTCTCTCCTCCCTCTCTTTCTCCACCCTACCTCCTCTCACTCTCTCTCCTCCCTCTCTCTCTCTGTGTAGATAATGAAGGAGGTGTGTCGGGCTCTGGGCAACGCAGCAGCTGATGACAGTAAGCTGTTGCTGCTCAGTGCTGTGGGGAGTGTCTTCTGCAGTGGCCTGGACCCATCCTACCTGATAGGACGCCTCTCCACAGACCGCAGGAAAGAGAGCAGCCGCATTGCTGACGCTGTACGGTAAGAGAGGAACAAAGGCTATAGACACAAACACAGAAACAACACATGATTGCCATTATACAACGGGTGGGTCTAATCCTGAATGCTGATTGGTTAAAACCGCATTCCAGCCGGTGTCTATTCCACAAGTTGCCACCAGCTAAATAAATGAAGTTAAAATGCCTATTTACACTGTTCCACCTGACTGCGCAATCCACTGTCTCATCAACCTAGTCAGGCACTTTATAAACTTGATCTCCACTATAAAAAGCATCTAGACATTATCTCACATTTCTTTTAGACTAACATTTAGTTTTCAACAGCGGAGATTTGTATAAACCTTGCTGTCTGTCTCCGACATTTGCAACATTGTTTCAATATTCAAATTCGATCTCCTGCTGTCCCATAGTATTGAACTTGTCGGGACGAGACAGACAGGCAGGCAGCGTTTCTCAGCCAGTCGAAATCATGAATCAACTGGCATCATTTTTATGGATATATACGAAAAAAGGTCCACTGAAAAAAGGTCAAATGAAACGCAGCTAATTTGCAGTCTTTCCAGCTTCAGTTTGAAGTGATTGTGTTAGCTGTGTTGTTGGCTAGCTCCTCTGTCTGAACAACAGTGTGCTGTCGAGTGAGCACATTCTCTATGCCAGGCGAAATCGTTCCTCATTAGCTCATTGTTATGGATGTATCCAAATAAATGTCACAAGAAAACAGCTTAAACAAATGCAAATGCAGCTACTTTGCTGTTATTCTGGCGGAACCTTTTGACGTGACTGTAAATTAGCCGTAGTTGGCTAGCTAGCAAGCAAGGGATAAGAACGTTGCCAGCCAGTATGGCATTGGAACGTTTACAATGAACGACTGGGTCGCGTCCAGAGATACAGAACAAAAAGAACGAACGACTGGGTCGCGTCTATATCTTGTGGAAGGATGAAATAGTAAGAATAAATTATATGTCAATCATTATTTGAATATGTTGGTAACCCGTTGTATAAAAGTGATAATGCCCTCGAAGCCGGTGTTTGTTGGATATATTGGCACGGTTTGTCTGCCCTCAACGAATATATCCAAAAAACACTGGCTTCTCGTCATTATCACTTAATTATCCACCTAAACAAGGCTACAGCAGGAACAGGGAACACGGCACACATACACACACACGCTTACCTAGATATCTCTTACCATTAGAATGCATTGACCAAGATACATTATCTTAGCGCACTGGAAGATAATTTTGCTTATTTTAACGGGAAAAAAAGGCTTGATACAAGTGGGGTAAGATAAATGATCTTATTTCAAGATATTTGATCTTAATAAGACATCTTACCAAGATAAATTATCTTAGTGCACTGGCAGATCATTTTGCTTACTTTAAACTGCTTGCCCTGATTCGCCTAAAGCAGAATAAGCTCAAAGACACACTCATATTATACTGTATAGTTTATACTCACTGTTTTGTGTCTCCTCTCCCAGGGACTTTGTGCTTGCGTTTATCCACTTTAAGAAGCCCATCGTGGTGGCCATCAACGGGCCTGCCCTGGGCCTGGGGGCCTCTATCCTGCCCCTATGTGACGTGGTGTGGGCCAGCGAGCGGGCCTGGTTCCAAACGCCCTGTGCCGCTCTCCGCCTCACCCCCTCCGGCTGCTCCTCCTACACCTTCCCCCAGATCCTTGGAGTGGCTCTGGTGAGTCTGGTTGCCTGGTCCCCTGTGCAGGTTTTTTTTCCCAGCTCTGCAGTAAAACACGATTCAATGTTTTACATTTACATTACCTTGTTGTACATAAAACAATTGATTCCTCCCTGTCTCCGCCTCTCACCCTGACAGACCAATGAGATGCTGTTCTGCGGGAGGAAGCTTACGGCACAGGAAGCCTGCAGCCGGGGCCTGGTGTCACAGGTCTTCTGGCCAACCACGTTCAACCAGGAAGTGATGCTGCGCGTAAAGGAGATGGCCACCTGCAGTGCTATGGTAGGCTTTTCTGACATAGAGATAGTCATGTAGAGCTGGCATTCTATATCCCAAGCCTTGCGCTAGGAACTTGCCTGGAGCATTGGTCTGTAAATTGAATAAAACTCTACATGCTTTGTAAGTAGGAAAACCTGCAAAATTGGCAGTGTAACAAATACTTGTTCTCCCCACTGTATATACACAGTGCTATGAAAAAGTATTTGCCACCTTTCTAATTTTCTCTACTTTTGCATATTTGTGGTACTGAATGTTATCAGATCTTCAACCAAAACCTAATATTAGATAAAGGGAACATAAGTGAACAAATAACACAACAATTAAATGTTTATTTCATTTATTTCATGAACAAAGTTATGCAACACTCAATTCCCCTGTGTGAAAAAGTAATTGCCCCCTTAACTAATTGCCCCCCATAACTGATTGTGCCACCTTTAGCTGCAATGACTCCAACCAAATGCTTCCTGTAGTTGTTGATCAGTCTCTCACGTCGCTGTGGAGGAATTTTGGCCCACTCTTCCATGCAGAACTGCTTTAACTCAGTGACGTGTGGGTTTTCAAGCATGAACTGCTCATTTCAAGTCCTGCCACAACATCTCAATTGGGATTAGGTCTGGACATTGACTAGGCCATTCCAAAACTTCCAATTTGTTGCTTTTTAGCAATTTTCATGTAGACTTGATTGTGTGTTTTGGATGATATACTTTTTCATAGCACTGTATATATATGTATGTGCATGGGTTCTGTAACTAATACAGTACAATGCTGCCAGATCAAGGGTGTGAAAATGAAGGGCCTCGATCTATGAAGCAGGCCACCTCTTACTCTCTGTTTGTCCCTGTGTGTGGAAGGTTCTGGAAGAGTCTAAATGCCTGGTGCGGAGCATCCTGAAGTCGGTCCTGGAGGAGGTGAACGAGAAAGAGTGTCAGATGCTCAAACAGCTGTGGTGCTCCACCAAGGGACTGGAGGCGCTCTTCAGCTACCTGCAGAACAAGGTGTATGATAACTGACCTCTGACCTGTGACCTCTCACTTCCACGCACCTGCAGAACTGGGCCACGAGATCTGGTCTTCAGTTACCTACTGAGCAACATCCCTGAAGATATAGGGCTTTGGTCTTCAGTTACCAACAGTCTTCTTTAACAACCAGCAGAGCGCAGTTTGCCAGTCTCCGAGGCCTTAGCTCCGCTCGTCAACATCTGGGCCTGCAGAGCACCATCATCAATGGGTTTTTTACTTTGGTCATCCCTCAACTTCCCTGCCTGTAAGAGGGGATCCACAAGGCCTACTGTTTTCTCTCCTGTGGGTCAAGCATCACCTTCTGGAGAGGATTAATGTGTAGGATTCATTCTGCATTCATATTGGCTGGCTGGGAGTCTAGTCAACCCCTTCCTGAGGAAGCATTGACCTGGAACAGGAAGCCATGACACTGAACAAGGCTCTTCAGGAAATGGAGGCACAGCGCCAGAATGTTGTGTGAGTGCTGGAGGCAAAAGAGCTCATCTGATGGCTAATGTCATTGTTCAATTATTTATTTGAAAATGTATTTAGATTTTATCCTAAATGCAAAAAAAGGATACCAAGTGTATATATTTTCCATTAGTCTGCTGTTTTTTTTTGTATCTTGCTCTAGTCTTTCTGTTTTGAGGTGGTGGGTCCACCTGGGCTCTGAGGTGTAGTGAAAATCAAAGCTATGCTTGAGATCAGAGTAGAACACAGATTTTCTCACCTTACATTCCATCCTCTCGTTATGGACAGAGTTGGACAGTGCAGTAACCCTGGCCAAAGATCCATTGAATTAGGTGTGGTGTAACTGGAGTGCCACTGGGGAAGAGTTAGAGGTAATGCCCAATGATACACACCCATAAGTGGGAAGTCACTGTGAATGGGCAGTGTTGACTGAACTCTTTCTGGATTTATAAAGACCGTTTTGTGATGCTCTCTTGGAAGTGTTTATTCAATTGCTTGTATTTGGTTTGTCAGTAAGGGTGTGTTTGACCTCTGATTGATTGTGGATGTGTAGAAGGGCCCTCTTTGACCACGACCAGCACTCTCATAGAGAACCAGAGCTGTCTGATTGCATCTTTTCATTTGAATGTGGACACTGTTGATAGATCAACAGGAGACCTCTCCCTGGCAAATGAGAGAGAGAGAGAGAGAGAGAGAGAGAGAGAGAGAGAGAGAGAGCATCATAATCATATCAGCAGCAACATGTGCACCGTCATCATTATCATCAAGGTACATATATGACATGTATTACAGTGCAAAGGTGTATCGGGGGTGGTTCGCTGAACTACTCTTCTGTGTTGACTAACCTTGCCTGAGACCTGAAGACTTATTTTGGCTCCCAGAGCTAATGCCCTGCCTTTAGCTCAGTGGGCTACTGCAGTATTGAATCGTGAAGACGACCAGGGTTTGTATCCATTGATTATAAAGGCATGTATATTGGACAGATAATTATTTTGATATTACCTTGCAATCGGTTATTAGTGAGACATTGTGTATTTTTGTAAAGCACAGAAAGATTATGTTTTGTCCCAAAGTAATCACTGCACTTTTTGTCTGTTGGCTGTCTGTGTTGTGAAGATGCAGTAGTAGTGCAGCTGAAGCAGATAATACCTGCATGTGATGATGGCTTCAGGAAATGGGAAATATATATCTACATATATTGTATGTATGGATATCTATTTTTGGTTTACCCAATAATGAAATGTAGTTTTGTGGAAATTGTTTTGTATAATTCAGGAAATTGTCAATTTTTTGCAGTCGTACACATATATGAACCATGTAGCTGGTATATTGTGTAACTAACTATATGTAACTATATGCATGTACAATATTGTAGATACATGTCTTGCCTGTCAAAATACTTTACATTTCAGGGTATGTTTTGTGTTGCCATAGTAAGCAATGTAAGAAATCTTGCACAATTATTATTTGTATTTATTTAAAGTTAGTGCTCAAGTTCCCCTTCGGGCTGCAGTGACATAATATTTCCCTTTCCCCAGAGGCACCTCTTTCCCTCTTATCTTCTGTTCCAGATTTTCTCAGTAAATGGCTTTTTTCCCTAGATCTGCCCTGTGTGATAATAGTGACACAACAAACACACACAAAAATGGTTACATGTAGCATAATTATTTTTAAAGGCTGTTGATAACCACTTTATGCAAAACTTTGAAACATTTAAAGTAATATTGCTATTAACAGCTCTGACAAATCAAAGCTCTATCAATTTCTAATCAACCATTCCCGATTATATTTGAGTAACAATTTACCTGAATTTCCCTAATTGATTTGTTTGTGTGTTGATCAGTGTATTGTTAAAGTATAGTGTAAGATAAAATGTATATTAATATATTCAAGATTTGAGTTTTGCCTGTACATCTCCCTAACCTGGTCTCAGAGCATTTCGTATAATTCTTTATGTAAATGTATACACTTCATTTAGTATGATATGTTACTTTCGTATGGTATGTATTCATTTGTGGATGTCCATCACCCATTTCGTATGATATGTTACGGAATTGCTCAACTTAATATATGTTATGAATTCTAGCTAGCTGGCTAACATTAGCCTGGGTTAGTATTAGGGGTTAAGGTAAGGGTTGAGTGTAGGAGTTATTTTAAAGGGTTAAGGCCAGGGTTAGGATTAGGGGAAGGCTTAGCTAAAAGGGTTAGGGGAAGGGTTAGCTAACATGCTAAGTAGAGCAAAGTAGCTCAAAAGTAGTAATTAGATGAAAGGTTGCTAATTAGCTAAAATGCTAAACTTTACCTTGATGAGATTCAAACTCGCAACCTTGGGGTTGCTAGACATTCGCATTATACACCAACCCATCCACCCCGACCAACCACCCTACTTTCATTTTTGCCTTAAGTAACCATCTGTCTTATCTAACCATACCAAACGTAACATATCATTCTAATTTGTACCTTGGTTTACATTTACTATGTTACGTATAGTCTGAGACCAGGCTGCTCTCCCAGGACCCAAATACAGTAATAATATAATATAATAAGCCATTTAGCAGACACTTTTATCCAAAGCGATTTACAGTCATGCGTGCATACATTTTTTGTGTGTATGGGTGGTCCCGGGGATCGAACCCACTACCTTGGCGTTATAAGCGCCGTGCTCTACCAGCTGAGCTACAGAGGACCACAACATTGTGTTTGAATTATGCATTTAAACATTTGAAGTAAAACATTTATATTTATAATTAATTTGTGGAGGACTTACCCTTGAATATTATGTGTTTAGGTTTGGTTTGTAAACTCCTATCATCTCCATATTATGTTTCGATGCATCTTCCAAGCATTTACAAACCTATAGCATGTTGAGTTTCTACTCCTTTCTCTAGTCTAAAATCACACCTCGGGGTGCCTTAGAAGTTGTATATTTTGTCTGTAGGATGCTGTATCCATACGTTGTGAGAGTTTGGAGGTCGAGCTGCTTTGAATAAACTATGACATTAATTTAAACATGGTGTTTTTGTTGTGTATTTAAAAACAGTTTTGTCATCATGTCCTACTTACTTGCTTTTTGTTTGCTGAATTTGTATAGTATCAATGTCCTTGTTTGGATAAAAGCACACATAATTTGGCTCAGATAAATATATTGTAGGCAAAACTAAAAGAGCATCCATCTGTCCTTAGACTCCTCTCCATTGAAACACACCACATAAAATAAACATGAATGGGTTACTCCTCTATGGCACTCTCACGTATAACCCTCTTCAGCATTTTTTTCAGTCACTCTGCTTTCCAGAAATGACTGGGGGCCTAATGCTAAACCGCTGTGAGTCATCCAGACAGGAAGAGCAGGGGTGGATGTTTGCTCTGAATGAAATATTACAATGTTCCACACAATTACCTAGTGGCATTCATTCAACATTTAGGCAATACCAACCATGGCTTTGTCTCTGTAGCATTTAATTATGCATAATTAAGATCTAATGATCAATTAACATTTACAAAGTGCATGGTATTCCTAGTGCTAACTGCTGTATAGATGGTCATTGTAGTATGTTTCTCTGGAAGATCCACTGAGCTTATGGATGTCCAGATGCTTCCCCTCTGTGTTCGGACACACACACACACACACTGGGTGGGAGCCAGACTGTTCGTTTGACTGAAGTGCCAGACCAATAACAATCGACCACAGCAGAGAATAGCCCTCAGGTGAGTCAAAACGGCCTGCTTTGAAAAGGCCTTATTTACTGTGATAACACATGCAGTAGATTGTTCAGGCTGAATGGAAGCTGGATATGAACAACCCTCTTAAGCGTCCGTTGAGGACTTGGGTGAATAAGACTGTGAGTATGACACTGATACATTTGTAAATGAATGAAATGTCCTGTGAGCTTGGAGCTTTCACCTATAAGTAAAGCATCTGTTGACTACCCATATGAAAATAACATCAAGGCAATTCTGTGTTTTGGTACACTTTATTCAATAGGAATACAGTGTTCATTCTACATTGTCATCCCCCAGACAGAAACGCAGACAATTTAAAACAATTATTTTGTTAACCACTTTCAATATGCAATCAACCATGATTGCATGGGGATGGGGTAGCAGTCCTCGAAACAGACCCCCCATATGAGCTCTGAACACTGAGTAGCGAAATGATCACAGGACCCTTTCTCTCTCCATCATCCACCACTGTCTATGACAATCCACCCCACCCAACACTATTCAACACACATACTGAAACTGACATTATGAGAGATCTCTTGTGGCCAGATGTCCAGGCAGTAAGGTAGGCTTCCATTGGTAGGCCCCCGTAAGTCCCCAGTCATCCAATACCCAGTCCCTGTGCCCCTTCCTGGAGCATTGGCTCAGCCAGTTCTGCAACTCAGAAGTCCTCCTTAGGGCCGTCTTTCAGCCTCTGTCTCATCTCTTTAGCATGCTGTTTGCTTGTCTCCCTCTTTGCAATTCGCTGTTGATCAGAAAGAGAAACACACACACATTGTCGAAAATACCAAAGTGCTCCCATCAATGAAATATGACAATAGTAGTCATCTGGTGAGGCATCCCTTTTGAATTAAAACCAAATTGCTGGTAGTCCTCACCTCGTCCTTCAAACAAGCCCTCATGGCACGGTCCATATCATTGCAATGGCCAAAGAACTTCTTGACATTGTGCTGAGGATGAGACATTAATGTTTTTGACAGATAAGAGTGTAGCTATACTTGACTGCTCCTACACATTAGTTCAGAACAGCTACAGTGTAGAGCAATACAGTAGATCTTTCAGATGGAGGTCTATGTGGGACATGTTCTTAGACGCAGTTGAGAAATTCCACCTCAAAAAGCACAAGAAAGAGGATTGACACCCACCATCTCAGATTGTTCTGAAGTCGTTTCTGTAGTTAGAAACAGGTTAGATTAGCACTCCTGAAACATGACTTTGTTGAAATATAATTTGATCTCTGAGAAATTAAGCTAATTGATTCCACCCTAATTGGCCATTTTAATTTATAGGATTAATATATTCTTCAGTAAATGTATACTGAACAAAAATATACACGCAACATGTAAAGTGTTGGTCCCATGTTTCATGAGGTGAAATAAAAGATCACAGAAATGTGTTTTGCTCCTTTGCCAAGATAATCCATCCACCTGACAGGTGTGGCATTTCAAGAAGCTGATTAAACGGCATGATCATTACACAGGTGCACCTTGTGCTGGGGACAATAAAAGGCCACTCTAAAATGTGCAGTTTTGTCACACAACACAATGCCATAGATGTCAAGTTTTGAGGGTGTGTGCAATTGGCATGCTGAGTGCAGGAATGTCCACCAAAGCTGTTGCCAGAGAATTTAATGTTCATTTCTCTACCATAAGCCGCTTCCAATGTCGTTTTAGAGAATTTGGCAGTACTTCCAACCAGCCTCACAACCGCAGACCACGTGTAACCATGCCAGCCCAGGACCTCCACATCCGGCTTCTTGACCTGCGGCATCGTCTGAGACCAGCCACCCGGACAGCTGATGAAACGGATAAGTATTTCTGTCTGTAATAAAGCCCTTTTGTGGTGAAAAACTCATTCTGATTGGCTGGTCCTGGCTCCCCAGTGGGAGGGCCTATGCCCTCCCATGCCCACCCATGGCTGTGCCCCTGCCCATTCATGTGAAATCCATAGATTAGGGCCTAATGAATTTATTTCAATTGAATGATTTCCTTATAAATTATGAACTGTAACTCAGTAAAATCAATGAAATTGTTGCATGTTGTGTTTATATTTTTGTTCAGTATAGTACCTAACATCCGATTTGGACCATAACTCTTCCTAGCAATGAGTAAGACATGAGAAATCCAATACCATTATCAAAAGACACCCACGGACCCCCCACGTCAATTCCACCCCAACAACCAGTATACAGTATCAGTTCTCTATGTCTGACAAGTAGTATGGAGCTGATGCTTGGAGTATTGCTTCTTCAACCTTTGTAATGTATTCCCTGTAATGTTTTTTTTTTCCTCATTCAGAGAAATTAGCCATTGAAGTCGCTTGCATTATTTAACATAAATTAGTGTGAAAATACCAGCTTTTGCCCACTAGATGCCGCTGTTCCTGCTACTGTCACCACACCCTTTTATCCGTTTTGCTGGTCTCATGTGTTTATTAAATCGATCACAACATGTTCTTTGCAACTTTGGGTAGAAAACCAATATAGTTTGCTCATGTTGAAAATAAATTGTATGGTCATCCTCACAATTCAAGCCAGTCCTCCATGAAAGCAATTCCGTTTGTCCTTCTCTTAGGCTTAATTTGTGTCCAGGAAACGGCCCCTCTGTGTGTGATTTATTCCCTTCAAAAAAGGTCTGGGTTAGTTAGACCATTCCTGGAGAACAAGCAAACCATTAGGCTACAGCAGATCTAATTGTTTAAATGTTATGGTCTCATGGTCTTCAATGGTAAAAGTCCCAAACACACACCGTATAATGGTTTACCCAAACACATTTTACATTTACATTACATTTTAGTCATTTAGCAGACGCTCTTATCCAGAGCGACTTACAGTTAGTGCATACATTATTTTCTTATTTTTCATACTGGCCACCCGTGGGAATCGAACCCACAACCTTGGCGTTGCAAACGCCATGCTCTACCAACTGAGCTACATCCCTCCCTCCCCTACCATGAGCAAAAGCTATTGGTTTTCAACCCTAAATTCTAAAGAAAATGTTGTGATCCATTTAAAGGTCCAATGCAGCTGTTTTTATATCAATATCAAATAATTTCTGGGTACCAATTAAGTACCTTACTGTGGTTGTTTTCCATTCAAATGGTCAAAATGAAACAAAAATAGCTTCTTAGCAAAGAGCACTTTCTCAAGCCAGAATTTAGCTAGGATTGTCTGGGAGTGGTCTGAGTGGGGAGGGGAAAACTAGCTGTTATTGGCAGAGAGGTTTGGAACTCTTTCTTAAAACTCCATCCCACCAAAACAAGCTGAAATATCAGGCGGTCTTTTCAAACAGCTCTTACACTAAAAGGGCATTATCATTTGTTTCACAATTTCACAGTATTATTCCAACCTCAGTGTGGAAATATATATAAAACACAGGAAAATCACATCTTTGACTGCACTGGGCCTTTGATTAGAACCACAAGAGACCAGCAAAAACGGATAAAAGGGTGTGGTGGCAGTAGCAGGAACAGCGGCATCTAGTGGGCAAAACCTGGTACTTTGACACGAATTTATGCTAAATAATGCAAGCGACTTCAATGGATAACTTCTCTAAACGGGGAAAAACTATCACCAAATTCACAGGGAATACAATACAAAGGGTGAAGTAGCAATACTCCAAGCCACAGCTCCATACTACTTGTGAGACACAGAAATCTGATAGTGTATACTGGTTGTTGGGGTGGGGTTGGCCTGGGGTGTGGTGGGTCCGTGGGTGGCTTTTGACCACTTTCTTGGATTCCTTATGCCTTAAGCAATGGTAGGAGAAGTTTGATCCAAATTGGATGTTGGGTACTATATTTGTTGAATATTATGTGAATCCTATAAATTAAAAGGGCCTATTTAGGAGCAATCAATTAGCTTAATTTCTCAGAGATCAAATTAAATTTCAACAAAATAATGTTTCAGGAATGCTAATCGTATCTGATTCTAACTACAGAAGCAATTTCAGAACTATCTGAGACGGTGGGTGTCATGGCTTGCTGAAATGACATGGAATGACCCAGTCTATGGTTCTCAGGTAAGTATACAATATCTTACCTCCATGTGGCACTGCTTCAGCAGGTTTATCAGTATGTTGCACTCGTCCGTGTGCAGGTGAGGCGACAGATCAGGGTGCATTCTGAGTTAGGGCTTGCCACTCAAACAATACTGGAAAGACAAACAAACAATACAAACCATGTTTGTGACTACAATGTATGCTTAAAATTACTATTTGGGTTTCTGTAATGAGTGTCTACTCTAAGGATACTCCATCCACCCAGTCCCTCTCCATCCTGCAAACTCATGTTGATGATCCGTTTTCTGTTTACACTTACCTGTAATGAGAGAGAAGACAGGTGTAAAACACAGGTGGGCAGTTTAAAACTAATACAAGCCCAGGTAAAGACATGGATAGTATTGCCTGTGTGGGTGTATGAAGGACAGACAGAGTACCAGGCACAATGAGGAGTGGCTATTGTCATAAGAGCCCATCCTTTCATCCAGATGAATCTCAAATCTGTGATTGCCAAAATGTATGCACTCACTAACTGTAAGTCGCTCTGGATAAGAGCGTCTGCTAAAATGACAAAAAATAAAATGGTATTTCAGCCTCTACTTTAACAAATAGGCTAGTAGTTGGCAGCGTTGTTGTTAACAGTCATAAAGTTGTGGTTGTTTAGAGATGGACTTTGTTACATATTCGGTTGAAATAGACTAAAATGTGTTTGCGGCAAAGGGGCCAAGGAAACAAAAATGGTTAAATTGAATGATACTAGCTAGTTAGATACAGACTGTTCTAGCTACAGTACAACTCACACACTGGTAGCTAGTACAGTAGCTACCAAAATAGACTGGAATTACCTTAAAAGCTGTGAATAGAATAAGGTAGCTAGTTGAATAAAGATATTACCAGTTCAGTTGGGATATCATTAGGATATCAATCTTCCAGGAGTAGAATATCTCGTTGATAGCAAGTTGACCAAATGTAGCTAGCTGCCAATGGCTAGCGAGATATACCACTTAAGGGCAAATGTAACGTTATTTCAACCCCTTGTTTAACTCCTATTACTGCCAGGTTACTGTCGATGTATTTACATCTAGCTAGCTACAGTACAAATCTTTGAAAATGTGTTTAACATTTCAGACATAGCATTCAATTGTAAACCTAGTTATTTATTGATAAAGGGAGGACATTCTGATAGCACGCTAGCTAGCTACACTTATCTCACCCTATCGTAACAGCAAAGACAGTACACTCTGTGGGAAATGATAACCTGATTGACATTACAGCAGCAAATCAACACTTGCTCCCGTTGGATGGTGGTCCAATCACATTAATTGTTGATTACATGTGGGCGGGTACTCCCTCAACGTGCACACAGCAAATAAATCCAGTCATTGCACAACTGGAACATAAAACACATTTTATTTACATATCTCAACGTATGCATCATAGCTACATCATTATATGTAATTAATCCTAAACACTGTGCATCTATGCCGCTCCAGCAGACGGCGCCATCGCATCGGGCAGTGGAAAGACAATACATTTACAAAATCCCAGATCTTAGTTTCTATTTATTTTGTTTTTGAACGTTTTTGGTTTAATTTAGGCCGATCTTAAACCCCATTTAATAACCTCTAAACATCTCTAAAGCATGTGAATATATGGAAAACGTTATTTTAAGAGGAAATGACGAAACAGGAAGTCTGACACACTAAATGATTCCGATAGGTTGACTCTTGTTCGGCGGTTTTTTTGGATTTGTGTGTCTGTTGTTAGCTTGCTAATGCGTTTTAAGAGTTGTATTTGTTAAAGCATATATTTTAAGCATGGATGACTCTACAAAGCGTATATTACAACGTCTAATACGACGAATCCCTTCTCAAATGCTCCAGACAATGCTTAGCAAGTGGGCTCATCTATCAAGGGAGGACCTGCATTCGCTGGACTTCACACAACCAAAATGGGTGTTGACGGAACATCTACTGGCTCTCTGTGAGGTAGATGTAGGTACTTAACTATTTAGTTATCTATCTAACTAGCTTTCTAATGATGTGATGTTCTCTTTAGCTAACTTGTTAGCAGTAGTGGAAAAAGTACCCTATTGTCATACTTGAGTAAAAGTAAAGATACCTTAATAGAAAATGACTCAAATAAAAGTGAAAGTCATCCAGTAAAATACTACTTGAAAAGTAAAAGTCTAAAAGTATTTGGTTTTAAATATACTTAAGTATCAAAAATAAATGTAATTGCTAAAATATACTTAAGTATCAAAAGTAAATATACATAATTTCAAATTCCTTATATTAAGCAAACCAGACGGCACCATTTTCTTGTTTTTGTTATTTATGGATAGCCAGGGGATACTCCAACACTCAGACATCATTTACAAAGGAAGCACTTGTGTTTAGTGAGTCCGTCAGATCAGAGGCAGTAGAGATGACAGGGAGGTTCTCTTGATAAGTGCGTGAATTAGACCATCTTCCTGTCCTGCTAAGCATTCAAAATGTAACTAGTACTTTTGGGTGTCAGCGAAAATGTATGGAGTAAAAAGTACATTATTTTCTTTAGGAATGTAGTGAAGGAAATGTAAAAGTTGTCAAAAATATAAATAGTAAAGTACAGATACCCCAAAAAACGACTTAAGTAGTACTTTAAAGTATTTCTACTTAAGTACTTTACACCACTGCTTGTTAGTTTAATCTAACTCTCCTTAACAGTTCATCGTGTGCTAAGTTTAATCATGCCTATCATATTGGGAAATTTTTTGTTGTTATACAATCAACCTTTCTGATACATTCTACTTTTATGTTTCCCAGGAGAAGGGCTTGACAGTGAAACACATCACAGAACTTGAAATGATCTGTAAGTGTTATCTGACAGCGTGAATTAACTAATTTACCCCTCAGTAGCTAATGGTCTACTTAGTTGTCAGTAATAGATAATACATTTCACCAATGCTTTCCAGATATCATTGAGAATCCGAACCAGGGAATGTGGCATGGCTTCCAGCTCCTTGATGCAGAGGGTAAATGAAAGTCTCTAATACCTTGCTGTACATTTAGTATCTGGTGCTTTTACTGACACTCACAAAGTTGCCATTTAAAAATGTACCCTAATCAATATTAGAGTTCCAAGGTATTAGAGGTAGCCTAATCAGCACTACTGTTCATTTCATTATATTTTTCTTCACAGAGGATGCACCATCCATTGAGCTGACACAGTTCAAAGAACAATTCAAGGCCAACCTCACAGAGCTCATCAGCCATGTATGTATGTTTTCCAGCTTTTATATGCTTGGTAGAAAAGACAGAAAACTAACTAACATTCCTTAAAATGGACATTGGCTTGTAATGTCCCTCAATTGCTGTGCTTGCGTGTGCCATCTCTTAGTCAATGCCTGTATTTGTCTTTCCTTCAAAGGTGTCTATTAAAATAAAGAAACACACAGATGAGGCCATATGGATACGTATTGCCTGGGGGGACAACTTCACAAAGCCTAACCACCTTAAACCCACATACGTTGTCCACCATCTTCAGACCCCTTATGTCTTTGTGACCGGCTTAACTTCGAAGCATAAGCCTCTTTTAAACCAGGCAAGGATGCTTTCTGAATTGCCCCCGAGGGGATTCATAACGTCATATTGCAATGCTTTGAAATCTGTTTCTATGGTCTGTATCGCCTGTTTAACAGACTGAGTTCTGTCCTACAGGCCTTGGTTCTGGCCACCAGATATGGCTCTATAAAGGATGCTCAACTCAGTGGACGGAACCTCACCGCCATCAGAGATCTACTGATGAGGCAGTACCAACAGGTAGGCCTTGGCGCTGTGAAGGGACACGGGCCATATAAAAGCCTTTATCATGACCATCCCACTGCTTACTGCTAACAAGGAAAGCCTATAGAACTAACTAACGAGATTCTGTGTTCTGCACCTCTTCCTTCATTCGTAGGTGTTCCCCACCAAACATCCAAAACCTCTCCAGGAAAAGAATCCTGTCCCTAGAAGTATGTTTTGTTGTCTGCTTATAAAATACAATTGTAATGTATACATGAACATAATCATGGTGACAACCACAACTAATTAGATATCAATAGAATATTGACTTAGTTTATGTTTCACTGACATTCTATTTTCTCATATTAGACCCCAATATAGAGAAAGAACAGGCTGAGAATACAGAGAACCGACTTCAGATGGCCTGTGAGGCCTTCGGCGATGGGACACTGCCTCAACTGCAAAAAGCTGTCTACAAGGTGCAAGAAGTTGAACTATGGTTGTTTACGAAAAGCTTTCTTCTCATGTGCCTGCTGTGCTGTGCGTGACAATGTATTCTGCTCTCTTAGCTGGAGACCAAGTTCCGAGATAACTCTAACAAGATGTTGACAGGCAGAGAAGAGCCCTTCAGAGGAGTGGTGGAGTTTGCCAGCACCAACCTCCTAGAGTCACTCAGGCACTGTGTGTCCTCAGGTACAGTATCTATATGTCTGGGGCTGGGCTTTGTTTAATATCCCCTTTCATCTCTGTCAATATGGAAGAGCCACATCTTCTAGTTAGAGCTGCAGAAACACCAAATGCTGAACAATAGCTCTCTCTCTCTGCAGTCTGTTCCATACCCTCAGGTTGAGAAGTCAAGTCTTCCAGGTGAATGCTCAGCATTAGAACGTTTTATTTGATGTGGTTTTATAATAATAATAATAATATGCCATTTAGCAGACACTTTTATCCAAAGCGACTTACAGTCATGTGCGCATACATGTTTACGTATGGGTGGTCCCGGGGATCGAACCCACAACCCTGGCGTTACAAGCACCATGCTCTACCAATTGAGCTACAGAGGACCACAAAGCCAGTTTTAGTTAGTTAACTGCTCATATGTAGCTCCACTTCTTTATTCAATTATGTCCATGGCCACAAGGGGGCAGAGGAACCATGACATACTTTCACTGTGTCCATCTCATTCTCCAGACAGATGTGCTGAGTTGTTTGATGTTTTTCATCCAAAGACTATTTGATTCGGAGGGTCTGCTATTAAATGAGTGGATTCGATTAGACTGAACCGGGGTGAACTAGGCTATGGCCAGTTACATGACCGGCTAAAACCGGTGAGGGCGGAGCACCCTGCTCAAATCAAATCAAATTTTGTTGGCCACATGCACCGAATACAACAGGTGCAGACATTACAGTGAAATGCTTACTTACAGCCCTTAACCAACAGTGCATTTATTTTTAATAAAAAAGTAGAATAAAACACAACAAAAAGTGTTGAGAAAACATAGATCACATAGTCATCCGGAACAGCTGGTGCTCTCATGTATGCTTCAGTGTTGCTTGCCTCGAAGCGAGCATAGAAGTGGTTTAGCTCGTCTGGAAGTCTTGTGTCACTGGGCAGCTCGCGGCTGTGCTTCCCTTTGTAGTCTGTAATAGTTTAATAATCTAACAGTAATATGTGCAACCTGGTCAAATTGTCAACATGGCAGCATGATGGATCATTCAGACATTTTCAAACTATTGTTCTTTGCAAAGGTAGATAGTGATTTATGTGTTTTTATCAATAGCAAACACTTTTGCATGTGAACATGAAATCCTAACTCATTACTCCACGTGTTACAGTGGGGAAAAAAAGTATTTAGTCAGCCACCAATTGTGCAAGTTCTCCCACTTAAAAAGATGAGAGAGGCCTGTAATTTTCATCATAGGTACACGTCAACTATGACAGACAAAATTAGAAAAAAAAATCCAGAAAATCACATTGTAGGATTTTTTATGAATTTATTTGCAAATGATGGTGGAAAATAAGTATTTGGTCAATAACAAAAGTTTCTCAATACTTTGTTATATACCCTTTGTTGGCAATGACACAGGTCAAACGTTTTCTGTAAGTCTTCACAAGGTTTTCACACACTGTTGCTGTTTTTTTGGCCCATTCCTCCATGCAGATCTCCTCTAGAGCAGTGATGTTTTGGGGCTGTCGCTGGGCAACACGGACTTTCAACTCCCTCCAAAGATTTTCTATGGGGTTGAGATCTGGAGACTGGCTAGGCCACTCCAGGACCTTGAAATGCTTCTTACGAAGCCACTCCTTCGTTGCCCGGGCGGTGTGTTTGGGATCATTGTCATGCTGAAAGACCCAGCCACGTTTCATCTTCAATGCCCTTGCTGATGGAAGGAGGTTTTCACTCAAAATCTCACGATACATGGCCCCATTCATTCTTTCCTTTACATGGATCAGTCGTCCTGGTCCCTTTGCAGAAAAACAGCCCCAAAGCATGATGTTTCCACCCCCATGCTTCACAGTAGGTATGGTGTTCTTTGGATGCAACTCAGCATTCTTTGAGTTTTGACCAAAAAGTTCTATTTTGGTTTCATCTGACCATATGACATTCTCCCAATCCTCTTCTGGATCATCCAAATGCACTCTAGCAAACTTCAGACGGGCCTGGACATGTACTGGCTTAAGCAGGGGGACATGTCTGGCACTGCAGGATTTGAGTCCCTGGCGGCGTAGTGTGTTACTGATGGTAGGCTTTGTTACTTTGGTCCCAGCTCTCTGTAGGTCATTCACTAGGTCCCCACTTGTAGTTCTGGGATTTTTGCTCACCGTTCTTGTGATCATTTTGACCCCACGGGGTAAGATGTTGCGTGGAGCCCCAGATCGAGGGAGATTATCAGTGGTCTTGTATGTCTTTCATTTCCTAATAATTGCTCCCACAGTTGATTTCTTAAAACCAAGCTGCTTACCTATTGCAGATTCAGTCTTCCCAGCCTGGTGCAGGTCTACAATTTTGTTTCTGGTGTCCTTTGACAGCTCTTTGGTCTTGGCCATAGTGGAGTTTGGAGTGTGACTGTTTGAGGTTGTGGACAGGTGTCTTTTATACTGATAACAAGTTCAAACAGGTGCCATTAATACAGGTAACGAGTGGAGGACAGAGGAGCCTCTTAAAGAAGAAGTTACAGGTCTGTGAGAGCCAGAAATCTTGCTTGTTTGTAGGTGACCAAATACTTATTTTCCACCATAATTTGCAAATAAATTCATTAAAAATCCTACAATGTGATTTTCTGGATTTTTTTTTCTCAATTTGTCTGTCATAGTTGACGTGTACCTATGATGAAAATTACAGGCCTCTCTCATCTTTTTAAGTGGGAGAACTTGCACAATTGGTGGCTGACTAAATACTTTTTTTCCCCACTGTACATCACTTTTGTTTCATGCAGGGAACCCGGCTCATGCTGCCCAGTTTAAAAAAATGAATGCAATCACTTTTAACCCTGTGCAAACTCAGCCTACCCCGTGAACAGGGCTGGCAAAAACGAATCCCCTCAGTAATTGCTTGTGCTTGTGTTTGACAGGTATGGCGTCAACCCCAGTCACCCCTCTTCTCTCATCCATCACACAGAAAGGGAGAAACAATTTTTTTATCACAGACAAAGGAGTTTAAATCAAGTTCAACTCTAAGTAGTGTATATTTGTATTGAATGTGTTAACATTGTATGTGGTTTAACATAATTTTTTTAGAACACCTTGTTTACCCCATGCACTCTGTTTCAGATTAAATAAATTGACAGATGTAATCTGTTTTATTTTGTTTTATTTAATGTAATTTGTTTCACTTATTTTGTATGAACAAAAAAAACATTTTCTGCAATTATGTTGATGAATTTAGAGTGCAGTTCTGCATTTCGCAGTTTCAAACTCAATTCTTCCCCCATAAGAATAATCGTTATTGTTTCTCAATTCATATACTACAATCTGTACTCTAATAAATGTTATTGGATTAATTTACTTTGTGTTACTTGAGTAGTGTACAGCAAAGGGTCATGGGTGGCTTGTTTACATTTTTGCACATGTAATGTATCATAGAAGTAGCTACAATATTGCCACTTGCCACCCCTCTGATGTTGCCAGGACGCTTGTGTGGGAGTGGCTGTCTGTTGCTACGAAAGGTCTCCAGGAAGTCGACGCGTCGGAAGTGGACGCGTCCTTGTATTTTCCGGACCATTTTTCCTGGCTTGTTTGCAGCAGCGTTTCTGCTGCTTGAGGAGCGTTTGGATTGGTAACTTGTCAACAGAAACATGGCTGCCTCTGCGTCGGGGAAAGCAAACCGAAACGATAACGCTTCCATGGGCAGTCAAAAATGCATCGAAGAGCACCCCGCACAGACGCGGGAGATTATCAAACCGTCTATCATGGAGCTCACCAAAGAAGTGCGGACCAATATCCTCTGCACCGTGGAAGGATGTGGCAAGATTCTACCGAACACGCCAGCCCTGAACATGCATCTGGTGAAGTCCCACAGAGTAAAGGTAGCTAGCTTGTTAGCCTCTTTGCAAGCTAACCTAAGGGGCTACTGATGTATTTCAATACGTAGTCTTTCTATTTTTCAATTCATGATACTAGGATCGCTAACTAGTTGCGCTAGCTATTTAGCGGCATGCTTATTGGAAAAACGACAAGTCATCGTGCACTGTTTGAGGCCAGTACATTGAAGTTGTCTACCTATAACTATATTGCGGATAACGTTACTTTGTAACTATTGTGTTACAATGCTTTAAGCAATGTTTCAATCATCCTAGGCTAGGATCATAGCTGTATGAGACTGATTATCCTGGCTGTTAAATTAACTAGCTTTCTTGTACTGCCTTTACATGTCTGACATACAAATATATTCTCTGTTCAAACCCACACGGTTAGATGTGCACAATAATACGATTATTGTGGATAGTCAGATTAATATAATAGTTCGTTTAAAACGTTTACATGCTTTGTAAGAACAACGTCGATTTCACTAATAATTCTGTTTACATGGACATCTGAAATTACTGTACCCCCGCACATTGACTCGGTACCGGTACAACCTGTATGTCTCATTATTGTTATTTTATTGTAACTTTTATTTTTTATTTTTTTAACTTTCGTTTATTTAGTAAATATTTTCTTAACTCTATTTCCTTAACTGCATTGTTGGTTAAGGGCTTGTAAGTAAGCATTTCACGGTAAAGTGTACATCTGTTGTATTAGGTGCATGTGACAAATAACATTATTTGATTTTGATGGGACTTTTGATAAATGCAGAAAATCGACAATCAAAATAAACGTTTACCACATTGACCATGTTATTTTAACGAATACTATTTGATTCTGAGTTAGGACATATAACGTTTGTATGTGAAAAGATGCATACTTTAAGATCTTCCTAACTCGCTTCACCAACGCATGAGGTAGGTTTGCGCTAGGGGTGCTGGCACATGCGCAGATCAAATACACCGCTGGAACGCGGATTAAACCGTTTTCATGCCTTAATTCGAAGATTGCTTAGAAAACCAGGTGTTTTAATCAGCGTATGTTTACTTCGATTAAGACCTTACGCCGATTAAGATAAGCAGAGTAAGGTGTTTACATGATTAATGACTTACTCGGCCTTCTGCCATAATCAGTTTAATATCGAATTATTAGTGTGCATGTAAACATACTTGTCTCCATGCCCGCATAGCCTAATTTTGTGTCGTATTATTGACAGAAGTGTCTGGAAATTCGAGCAATTAAAATAACTTTTAGTGAATTAATGTTTAAATGGCTGAAGAAGATGGCCTAAGCCTAGATGTGCAATGAAATCAGTCTCATCATACAACTAACCGCTAATGTCACACTGTCTTTAGCCTAAATATGAATATTGGACTATAGTAAGGGAAAGTCTTGTAGACAAAGGTCCTCCTCTTGAACAGAAATGTATGCAATGTCCTCGCCAAGTCTTGCTGCCCCCGTGGGAGTCCTAGTGATTCCAGTTTCCTCCAAATGAATGCTGTTCTCTGCTGGGATCTAGCTGTCTTTTGTCTTGCTACAGACTGAGCTCTTTGTAAGAAAATAAAAGGTGAATGTTTGAATTTGAATTAGGTCTGAAAAGCACTTCATGCTCCTCATTTCCCCACATAAGTACTAACTGTTCTCAATACTGAACCAATTCAAATGGGCCTAATGCAGGAGAATGAGAGATGGAGGAGAAAATGCATGGTGCAGCAGTTCATGAAGGAAACACAATGTCAATCTGAACAAAATGGTGTGGAGTGAGCATAGTCTTAGATGTCCATGACTGTGTGGAAGGACTGACAGTAGAGGTAACGCTACCCTTGCTTTCGAGGACCCAAGGCATTAACAAGGCATTCTGCCTTATCACCAAGGTTCTCAGCTATAAGCACCGCTTACCGGTGGGACCATGTGACTACAATCCCGACGCTCTGTTTTAACGTTTAGAAACGTCAATAATCATCACTTGTTTTCAAAACATATGGAACTTATCTTTCATATGAATGAGAAATAATCTTTCAATAAAATACATTTACTATAGCAGGTTTGCACAGATCCATACGTCTGTGTGCCTCCAGTGACGAACTACACTTCCTCTACACTTCCTCCCCAGTTACGCTTACACACAGGTGTTCGAGCACGCTAGATAGCTAGTTAGCACAGGTGGTCGCCTGTCTTCCGTAAACAGGCACTGTAACATGGAGATATGGCCGTGTGGGAACACTAACCATTTAAAGGTGTGTAGTAATTTAACCGTTTTTGTTTTTTGAAAATGATTTCTCACTGATATGAAAGATATGTTACTTATGTTTCCAAAACCGTATCGGAAGCGATGCGTGTTAACATTCAGAATGAGTGTCTGGGCTCTTAACAAAACTCCCCCGGCCAGAAGATACCTTCATAAATAGACACTAAATGTAGTTATGGGCTGACGCTACCCTACCGGAGTCATCAGGGCAGGAAAGCACAGGCTGCTTTCTGTCCCTCCGCTGTTACTCACACACTGGTCAGGCATGTTCTTTTTTATTCCTCAACGCAGAAAGAGATGTGATTTGGGTTATAACACTGTTGTCGCTGGACACTCACTGTGCCTTAGCTCTGCTGAACTGCCATATCACATTTGCTGGCCAACTGCTGTAACACAACAATCAATTTAATTTCACACACTTCTGAACATTACAACGCACACTCAAATATTAGCCTATGCACTGTACTAGGCAGGCTGTAGTGTAGACTAGTCACACTTCCTGTGTAATGGCTGTGTGGAGGGTGTTAGTGAGTCACTCAACATGTTAAACTCGCAAGTTAAATACTTTTGATGACCTGACTCCTTGATGTAGCACACTGACATATTTTCAGTTTGCATTTCCTAGCTGCGGTGCTGCCCAGCAGACCCTACCCAAGCTGTCTTGTAGCAGACAGAAACAAAGCTATCTCTGCCCTGCCTGCCTGTATCACCGTCTGTCAATGCACTGTGCCTGGTCTGTCTGCAGGGAAGGGACATAATAGTGTCATGGAGAGCAGCTCAGGGACTGTGCTCTGGCCTAGAACAGACAGTCTGAATGCTGCTGCAAGACGCCAGTTAGTCCATCTGCTGCTGCAAGACGCCTATGCAGAACTGTATGCCTCTGACATCGCCTGTACAATAGTATAAGAAACTGTGTCTATGTTCACTGTGAAGACAGATCATTTTAGCACTATGCATGATGTTTATGTATATTAGCCTAACTTACATCAAAATGTCTCTTTTTATAAGTACTGTACCAATGACACAGTAGATGTAGCCTACTAGGTGACCTTGGGCAGGGAAATACTGCAATGCTAATAATGATGGTTAGAAATACACAGGGGTCGATGCTGAGGTCTATCGGTGGCCTGTGAGGCCTACCAAGCTCTATGTCAGTGCTGTACTCTTACATAAGCATCATGCTGTTGTTCATTGAATTAATGCAATGTGCTGCTGACAGCTGCTTCGGCACGGCTATCTGGAGACTGCCAGGAGTGTGGAGTGACGAAGCACACACTGTGGAAAGCACAAGCTCAATGTGCTGTTAAGCTAATTACTTTAATCTGAACCTCTTTAAAGTCATATACACTACCAATCAAACGTTTGGACACACCTACTCATTCAAGGGTTTTTCTTTATTTTTACAATTTTTTACATTGTAGAATAATAGTGAAGACATCAAAACTATGAAATAACACATGGAATCATGTAGTAACCAAAAAAAGTGTTAAACAAATCAAAATAGAGTTCAAGTCACAGACACATCTCAACATCAACTGTTCAGAAGGGACTGTGTGAATCAGGCCTTCATGGTCGAATTGCTGCAAAGAAACCACTACTAAAGGACACTAATAAGAGACCTGCTTGGGCCAAGAAACACGAACAATGGACGTTAGACCGGTGGAAATGTGTCCTTTGGTCTTGAGTCCAAATTGGTGATTTTTGGTTCCAACCGCCGTGTCTTTGTGAGACGTGGTGTGGGTTGAACGGATGATCACTGCATGTATAGTTCCCACTGTAAAGCGTGGAGGTGTTATGGTGTGGGGGTGCTTTGCTGGTGACACTGTATGTGATTTATTTAGAATTCAAGGCACACTTAACCACCATGGCTACCACAGAATGATTCCGTATGTGTTATTTCATAGTTTTGATGTCTTCACTATTATTCTACAATGTAGAAAATAGTTAAAAATAAAGAAAAACCCTTGAATGAGTAGGTGTGTCCAAACTTTTGACTGATACTGTAGATGTGGACCTACCATCTGGAACACCTTTGTCTGTGTATTTGCCATTCGCATGGTTTTTCTACAAAGGATAATTGGCGTGTCCATCCGCTGGAAGTTTTCATTGTAATGGTACTCTGAGAGAGAGAGAGCGCCTAGGCTAAAATCATCACTAACTAAAGTATAACTAATGCCTAGCCTTTAGCTCTCAACGGTCTTGAGTTGTGCTGATGGCCTACCTTCCTACATGTGGTTGGTTAGCCTACATTATTTTAGTGCTGATAGATTACACTAAATCCTAAGCCTATAGTATCACAATCTAATCATTCATCCTCTCTCTCCATAGGACGGTCTTGTCAACCCCACCATCAGGAAGGACATGAAGGGCTCCCAGAAGCTGCTCTACTGTTGTCCCATAGAGGGCTGTCCACGAGGCCCCAACAGACCCTTCTCTCAGTTCTCCCTGGTTAAACAGGTACCACATCACTACAGTCAGTTTAAGATCTGTATAATGCCAGAGAGAGCCTGACTGAAACCACCTGAGTCAGACTCATGAGGATTGTCTAATGAATTGAAAGACTGAGTCAGACATTTCCTCCTGGGTTTTCCTGCTTTGGAGCTCCCCTGAGATCCTGATGGTGGATGGGAATTGTAAATGATTGGAAAGTGTGTCTTATAATTATATCTCAATAGAGAGACTTTTGAAGTGTAACTAGGAAATTGGAATAAGGGAATTGTACATTCCTTTACAGCTTTCTTCCAGTTCATGTAACGAGTAACTTCCTCTCATAGCCCTATGCGTATTCTGTTCTTTCCAGCACTTTATGAAGATGCATGCAGAGAAGAAGCACAGGTGTTCCAAGTGCAACAACGGCTACAGCACAGAGTGGGACCTGAGGCGCCACATAGAGGACTGTGGGAGGACCTACCGCTGCACATGTGGCTGCCCTTACGCCAGCAGAGCGGCGCTACTGTCACATATCTACAGGACCGGCCACGAGGTCCCTACAGAACACAGGTATACACTCAGTGTACGAAACATAAGGAACACGTGCTCTTTCCATGACATAGACTGAGCAGGTGAATCCAAGTGAAAGCTATGATCCCTTATTGATGTCACCTGTTAAATCCACTTCAATCAGTGTAGATGAAGGGGAGGAGACAGGTTAAAGAAGGATTTGTAAGCCTTGAGACAGTTGAGACATGGATTGTGTATGTGTGCCATTCAGAGGGTGATGGGCAACACAAAATATTTAAGTGCTTAGGAACGGGGAATGGTGGTAGGTGCCAGACACACTGGTTTGTGTCAAGAACTGCAACGTTGCTGGGTTTTTCATGCTCAACAGTTTCCCATGTGTATCAAGAATGGTCCACTACCCAAAGGACATCCAGCAAACTTGACACAACTGTGGGAAGGATTGGAATCAACATCGGCCAACATCCCTGTGGAATGCTTTTGACACCTTGCCCCGACGAATTGAGGCTGTGCAACTCAATATTGGGAAGGTGTTCTTAATGTTTTGTACACTCAGTGTATACTGGATATCATACTGGAGGGCAGTGTTTCCATTAGTCGGTTATTGATGGGTTTTGGCCGATAAAAATGCATAAAAACCGACAAATATAAGCATTGCCGGAGACAGTGTCCAGCAAAAAATATCCTCCATAAATCACATTAGCTATGCATTGAGGTTGGATCATGTCATCTTTCAATGATCTCTCTACTTTGCCTGTTTACGCTGCCTGCCTGTCTATCTTGAGCTCGTGCTCTCACTAGCAAATTGGCATTATGTCAACTGGAACTGGCCCACACATTTTTCACATGCCAGTCTGTGACACACAGCTGTGTTCTGTTTTCTATGATTTATGCTAAATTCATCTCCCTAAAAGAGAATTTACAGAAATGTCCACCAAGGAGGAATATAGGAGATGAGAATCTTGCTTCCCTACTCTTCCTCTAATCTACTGCCTGTTTGAGTAGTTAGCTAAAAAAAATGCTTAACTAGCTACTGTACCAAGGATGGAGGTACAGACAAGTGGACAAATAAATAGACACTGAAACAGAGGATTTTGACAAGCCAGATGGACAGATTGAGACATGCATTGTGCAAGGAGCCAACGTTCACTTGGTAGGCTATCCTTCCTCCTTGCATATTGCAGTCACTTCCATGTGGTGTCAATGAACCGTCAGTGGGTGCTCCTAAAAGCAATAGTTTCTATTAGGTAAGTCTCACATTTGGGTGGACATGCTGGTGGAGGGGATTTAAAGATATTGTGGACACATGGTGGCAGAGGGGCTCAAAGTCTTCAAGTGTCATGCAGTTTATCCAGTCAACCATCATGTAATTATTCAATAACGGATCATGTTGGGACTAACACCTGCATGCACAACGTGGCTTGAGAACAGACCTTGAATATGAAAACACAACGATTAAGTGAGAATGCTGGCACTGCACTTTGCTTTTATTAGTATTTGTCAAAGCTTTATAACTACCTACTGCTGTTTGGTCTGCTTGACATATTCTCTCCTCTGCCCTGTGTTTGCAGGTATCCACCAGTGAAAAAGCGGAAGATGGAGAGACAGATAAGTGGAGCAGAAAAAGTCAAGCCCAGTGAATTAATGTGTCAGATCATAAAAACTGACAGAGAACTTTCAGAGGGCTCCCTCCCTTCAGACAGGGTCTGCCACAACAACCCCCCAAAACACCTCCAGAAACTCCTCCTACCCAAGCCCAAAGTGGCACTGGTGAATTTCCCTGTGATGCAGCTGGCCCATCTCCCCGTCTCCTCCCCTCCACAGAGAGCGGGGTTCTGAGGTCTGTGGTGCTGGCCGTGGACAGCCAGGGCTCCTTCAGCACCCTCCACCTCATGCCCCAGTCCATGGTGCCCCACCTGGACCCTAAGACCCTGGGCTTCAGGGGCAGCATGCCTGCCTCCCGCTCCAGTCTGGGGCCTGTCAGCATGGGGGTGCAGGTGAGTCTGGAGTCAGTGGGCTCTGGCAATGACCCAGGAGGAGTCAGGGGGAGAAGTACCTCCACCAACATCCAGACAGACATCTCATACTTGTCCAGGATGCCTATGGGGGACGGGGTGGGGATGGAGGTGTGCCCCATTGGTGAGTCATCAGGTCTCATCGTGTTCTCAGACAGATATTAGTGTGAGTGCTCAGGTCCTGCTGCCGGTCAGTGTAGAGACCCAGACATTTCCCTCTAAGGCCAAAGCCACCACCACCATCGGGGCGCAGACCGACACCCATACCCACACCCTCAGCCAGCTGTCCTGCCCCTATTCCTCCCCATCCCAGTCCCCCTACATCACCAAGCAGACCCAGACCAGCCTCCCCCTGGACTGGGTCAGAAGAGAGGGCTCAGATGGACCAGGCCATCATGTGCTCAGACCTCTTCGACAGCTACTCCCTCAGCGTCTCCACACAGACGGCACTGACAGACGGACACTTCAAAACCCACGGTGTAGACGACCCCCTCTCCGGCGCCAGTAATGGTCTCTATGACGACGACAAGTCAGCAGGAGGCATGTGTTTTGGCATGCAGACAGACGATCTCCAGTCGGGCAGCATGGCGGACAACCAAACCCAGACCACCTTGGCTCTGTTCAATGACCTGGAGAACATCTTGTCGGGTCACTCTCTGTCTGGTCACCAGACGCAGACGGATTCTTCAACAGGCTGTGGATCAGGTCTGGGCTCTGTTCAGGAACAGCACACGGGCATCGACTTTGACATTGAGGAATTCCTGAACGCGGCCCACATCCAGACTCAGACGGAGGAGAGCGGGCTGGGGGCCGACACACCCCTGGAGGTCCTGGACATCCAGACCCAGACAGACTTCCTCCTTCTGGAGGGCCTGGGAAACAGTGAGGGGCCGGGCCGGAGCCAGGCCAGCGACCTGGAACTGGAGATGTTTGACACCCAGACCCAGACAGACCTCAACTTCCTGCTGAAAGCCGGAGGCCACATGCCCCTGGGCAACATTCTGCGCCAGTCCAGCTTCTCCATGAGCACAGAGTCCTCTGACACTGAGACACAGACCGACCTCCGCCAACCGCTGACACCAAACTCCAACATCCTTCCCTCTGTCTCCCAGGGCGATCAGGCCAGGCTCTTGAGCAGCACAGAGACTCAGACGGTGACCGACGCATCTTCTGAGGGCCTCGGAAACCTCTTCCTGACCAGCAACGAGACCCAGACAGTCATGGATGACTTCCTGTCAGCTGACATGGCTTGGAACATGGAGTCCCACTTCAGCTCGGTGGAGACGCAGACGTGTGAGGAGCTATTTGCTCTCTTTCAGCACTCCGAGAAGGCCAACAGCTGAATACTCCCCCACCACCTTCTCAGCCCACACAATGGGTTTCTGGTTTCCATCCAGGAGGGCCTGTCCTGGGCTCATCATCCTCTACAGTCTATGTCCCTCTGCTAATGGAGGTTTAGGTGTAGAAGTGAGCCGCCTTAGAAGTCTTACAACATTCTACGGGGCATGTCTAGGATAGCATGTCCAGACATCTCCCCCCTGCTAGTTTAAAAGCACTTTATTATCAGTTCATGGATATGATTTCCCATCCTTGTTTACATGTTTATTTGCACGTGTCTTACTACTTAAATATATATTTGGTCTGAAAAGCCAATTTAGTCCGTTTACAACGTTTTAAAAGTTTGAGCACTAATGTTTGCTATAAGAGAGTATGTATTGCCTGTTGAGCCTTTCCTTAATCATATTGCTATTGAATGGCTTCCGGCAGATTTGATGTGGCATAAACGTACTAGTGAAATTCTAAGTTAGTTGCCGCACTCCCATTGTTGACATGTGATTGTGAAGTTCAGTCTTGTAGAATTGCCCTATTGTTACAGGGCCACCCACCTATAAACTGGGTCACCACGTTAGCAGACTAGCCTGTCATTGTCTTTGACTTATTCATTAGCTGGCTGTAAGTGTATAGCAGCACAGTGTGCTGAAGTGATACAACACTGTAGAGAAACACTATGAGGATCTAGCTACTCTCTAGTCACTGTGATTACATTGTGGTTGTGTATGTCCACCACCGCCATATACAGTGCCTTCAGAAAGTATTCACACCCCTTGACTTTTTCCACATTTTGTTGTTACAAAGTGGGATTAAATTTGATTTAATTATCATTTTTGTTGTCAGCGATCTACACAAAATACTCTGTCAAAGTGGAACAAAAAAAATTGTATTCATGGAAAATATAACAAATATATCTTCATTAAATAAGTGTTCAACCCCTTGAGTCAATACATGTTAGAATCACTTTCGATTACAACTGTGAGTCTTTCTGGATTGTGCAACATTTGCCCATTATTATTTTCAGAATTCTTCAAGCTCTGTCAAATTGGTTGTTGATCATTGCTAGACAACCTTTTTCAGGTCTTGCTATAGATTTTCAAGTAGATTTAAGTCAAAACTGTAACTAGTCCATGCAGGAACATTCACTGTCTTCTTGGTAAGCAACTCCAGTGTAGATTTGGCCTTGTGCTTTAGGTTATTGTCCTGCTGACAGGTGAATTCATCTCCCAGTGTCTGGTGGAAAGCAGACTGAACCAGGTTTTCCTCTAGGATTATGGCTGTGCTTAGCTCCATTCCGTTTCTTTTTTTATTCTGAAAAACTCCCCAGTCCTTAATGATTACAAGCATACCCATAACATGATGCAGCCACCACTATGCTTGAATGTTTTGGAATATTTTTATTCTGTTCAGGCTTCCTCCTTTTCACTCTGTCAATTAGGTTAATATTGTGGAGTAACTACAATGTTGTTGATCCATCCTCAGTTTTCTCCTATCACAGCCATTAAACTCTAACTGTTTTAAAGTCACCATTGGCCTCATGGTGAAATACCTGTGCGGTTAGGAAGGACGCCTGTATCTTTGGAGTGACTGGGTGTATTGATACACCATCCAAAGTGTAATTAACTTCACCATGCTCAAAGAGAGATTCAATATCTGCTTTTTTTTTTTTTTTACCCATCTACCAATAGGTGCACTTTTTTGCGAGGCATTGGAAAACCTCCCTGGTCTTTGTGGTTGAATCTGTGTTTGAAATTCACTGCTCAACTGAGGGACCTTACAGATAATTTTGTGTGTGGGGGTACAGAGAATGATGTAAATGTAGTCATAAAAAAAAAAAAATCATGTTAAACACTATTACTGCACACAGAGTGAGTCCATGCAACTTATTATGTGACTTGTTAAGCAAATGTTTACTCCTGAACTTATTTAGGCTTGCCATAACAAAGGGGTTGAATACTTACTGACTTAAAACATTTCAGCTTTTCATTTTATATGAATTTGTAAAAATGTCCTAAAACATAATTCCACTTTGACATTATGGGGTATTGTGTGTAGACCAGTGGCAAACAAAATTGAATCTATTTAAAATTCAGGTTGTAACACAAAATTTGTTTGGGGAAAAGGGCAATGGGTGTGAATACTTTTTGAAGGCACTGTATAACAACCCCACTAAACGTTAGGGAACATTTAACTGACGAAATATTACAATTTCTATCAAACTTTTCTTGAACTATCTACTCTAAAGCCTACTGTATTGGTCATAGCTAGCTTTTGGTATCATTACAATATTTTACCTCATTTGCACATGCACCCCATTCAGATTTCAAGAAACAGGCATTTGTTGTGAACTTTACAAGAGCTCTCCAAGTTATGAGTATTTCCCCATGTTTGATTTTGTTACGTTGGTGCCTTAAAGTATTTTTCATTATGTATTTTTTTGTTTTCATTGGGCAGTGATGCACTAAGCAGCTTTAAGAGGTAGGAAGAAGTTCAGGATCAAAATGTATTTAACATTTAAATTATATTTATTTGTGGAGGGCGTATTGGAAGAATACTTCAAATACTTGAGTATCTTTAATTTGAATGTTGAGTACATTTTCTGTACCTCTACTTTCAAAAACATTTGGTTGCACGATATGTTAGAATGCCTTCTATGAGTTGTATTTGGAAAAAGCTGTTTTGTGTTACGCATCTAGGTTCTAAGAATGCTATGCAGTATTTTGTCCAAGGCAGCATTCGCCCTACTGTGGTACACTATCAATATGTATAGAACTGTACCCAGAAACTGCAGATTGTAGCCTACATGACACTGTGCCCATACTACACAACATGGCTTAGTTTTTGCACTGCATCTTAAAGTAATCGAAACAGGACCGTTTCATTCCAGTTTATAACAGACTTTCATACTCGACCACTACATTTCATAACAATGTATTGTACTGTACTATGCTGTACTGAATACACTACTATTTAATTTATCGTTCTTGAACTTGATTATAATAGCACTGAGGGAAAAACTGCCTTGCTTAAAAAACTACATGGCAGGGTTGGAGTCAATTCCATTTTAATTCTAGGCAATTGAGAAAGTAAACCAAATTACAATTCCAATCTTTCCTCATTGAAGATAATTGGAATTTCAGTGTACTTCCTGAATTGAAATGGAATTGACCCCAACCCATGGTACATGGGGGTGTCAACTTCAGCGCTTCGGTTTTTCTCAGTAGGGAGTGCATGCAGTCTTTGGTGCCAAGATAAACGATTTCAGTTGCATTTCTGTTTGTAGCCTTATCTGTTGTATTTCAGTTGCCTGAATGTATAGAGGGTTGATGAAGGTTGCCTCTCGCTGTTTGTTTTGTTGTTGATGATATGCAGCAGACGCTCATAATAAACTCTTCAAAAAGGGTTGAGGTAGTAGCTGGTTGTTTGTACTAGCTTAGTCTTAGTTCACTTCAAATCAAAGGACAGGAATGCAGTGCTGTATAAAGCCAAGTCAAATATTTTATTAATGATTAAAGCACAGGCTACTTTTGACTTACAACACCATCCTCTACATTGCACACTCAACGTGCAATTTTTTCGGTAAACGTCAGTCACAGTTTTCACCTGGGTTGTATGGCAGTACAAGTTAGTTTACTATGTACGTGTATTATGCTCAGTCCGTTTGAATACAATATTGTAATTTGGACTATGATACTAATTCCTCCCCCAACACACCTATGCTGTCACAGACCCTCAGAATCACAGTGTGGGTCACATCTAGCATGTAATTCAATAGGCTACCAATGACATCTTCGCATGGGTTGGTACACTACAATCACCGACTGCTCATTGCATTAGAGTGCAATAGCACTAGCATGCTTTGGCAATGGCTCAGAGCATGTTTTGTCATACTGAGGAGCACCGAGGGGTTGTGACAAGAATAATGTCTGCAGTGTAACATTCAGGAATCCAAGAAACCGACCTAGAGCTCAGCATTGTAGAGGAGGAGCACAATTGCTGGGAAACTAAAAGCTCAAGCGTGAGCACCACAATAAAAGCACATGCAAAATGTAGAACTAAACGCTGCCATCACGCATACATATTCATTCATAGTCCCCTGTAGCTCAGTTGGTAGAGCATGGCGCTTGCAACGCCAGGGTTGTGGGTTCGTTTCCCATGGGGGGCCAGTATGAAAATGTATGCACTCACTAACTGTAAGTCGCTCTGGATAAGAGCGTCTGCTAAATGACAAAAAATGTCAAATGTAAATTCATCACTCCATTTAAAATTATTAACTTCATATGTCCAGGTGCGTGGAGTGTTTGTAATTAAGGCATGCTCATGTAACAGTTTAATGGATTTCACTCTGAATAATCAGTGGTAAGAAATTAGCATAACATGTGTGCACAATGTATTCTAGCAATCTGGACTACTTTGCATTGCTGATGTTAGATTGCATATTATCACAGTGATGATGGACCAAATCCTACCTTTTGATACGAATGTAACACATGAATAAACTGGTTATACAATGAGACTGAGTTGGTATAGCCTATAAATCACATAGAACTAACAGCAATCTGTAAACTCATATGTCAATTCCATGTAGTGTAAAACAACCAAGTTGAATTCATCAAAGCTTTTTTAAATACAGTCATCAGTGTCATGTAAAAGATATGAAGATATCTCACAGAAAGCTTCCTTTTAATCACAAACCCACAAAGACTGAGCATTTGGGATGGGAAAGAGTATGGAGTGCAAAGTAACAGTCTCTGTTCAGAGTAGTCTCTGTGCAGAAGCTGGGATGGGCACCCTGGTTCCAAACAGAATGGGCAGCTGGGGCTCTGCCCGTTTCAGGCTCTTGGTCTTCAGTCCAAAGTAGAGTCTATGAGTACTGCTGGTCCGGGGATCCTGTCTGAGGTGTCTGCCCAGGGGGTAGGTGGCACGGGCTAGAGGCTCTGCCAGTGTGCTGAGGGGCATGTCACATCTCTTGGGGACGGGGATGCTGAAAGCAGACAACAGGTGGTGGCTCTGCTTGGACGGCCAGTACTTAGAGGTGAGGGATCCCTGGTAGGTGTCCTTGGGCAGCCTGTCTTTGTCTGGGACAGCGTCTGCTGCTCTCGTTTCCTCTACTCTCTCCACACCTCCGCTCTCCCCGGCAGGTGTGACACCATCTGACCCAGCCTCTGCGGTCTCCCCGTCTGAGGCGCTGCGTCCCGGGCCGGCCTCCCCCCTCCGGAGCTGGCTGGTGACCCTAGGGTGTCTGGGCTGGGAGGCCTTCACGGGCGGTAGGACGGCAAAGCTGTTGATGATCAGTGTCATGGGACACTCTGAAGCTGAGTGGTGGTGGCCCTGGGAGGGGGCCGATCCCAGCAGTGAGTCACTGATCTCACACACCTCAGCCTTGTCCTCCACCATCTTGTCTCGGAGTGTCAGTTGCTGTGTGGCTTTCTGAAGGTCCCTGAAGGACTCTGGTGGGGAGTCCTCTGAAGAGACGCTAGAGGTATGACTGTAGGGTCTGTTCAGGAAGTCTCCCAGGGTTGTGGGGGGGGGTTTCTCCCATTGGTCCAGGGAGGAATCACAGAAGGACTCAGGGGAGTGGGTTAAGCTGGACTCTGAGTAAGGGGGGTCCGAGAGCTTCACGAGGTCCACACACAGGTGGCGGTGGTGGTCTGTGTCTCCAGACTTGACCCTCTTTCCTTTCCTCTGGGTCTGAACCAGGCAGCCAAGTGGAGTAGTTCTGCCCCAGCCCCGGATCTGTCTCAACAACAAACACAACAGCATTAAGGGAAACGTAATTATATTTTAATCAGTGTATCGCAACTTAGAGAAAATTAGGTTTCACCTTTTAAGATGATTTCTGAGATTAAATGTAGTTATAAACAGTGAATAAACATACTGACACTGTTTCACTTTTTCTTAACTCACATGAAATGGAAGTGTGTATCTGGTGCCTATGCAATAACTTGACACTGGCTGAATAAAAATAAAACCGCAGTGTATTACTCACAGCTTCCTCCCATCCGGAGAGACAGAGAAACTCAAATGGCTCCTGCTCTTTGGATGAGGTATCCTCGCTGATATCCAAAAGGGCATCGACATGGCCTCTGTTGGGTAGTTGGCAGCTCTGGTCCCATCCTGTGTACTCGACTGCCACACTTCTGTCTTCAGCCACTTCTACAGGCGCCTGGTCCCATTCCTTGAATATGTCCATTCTAAGATGAGCCTTTCAGGGTGAAATCTGTTGAGAGTGAAAAAAACATCTCTAATTAGGACACTCATCATTACTGTCCATTTTTAGGCTCGCTGATAAGAGAGGAGATACATGTACACAAACAGCAAGCAAGCTATACGTCATTGTAAGCATTGTAAAACTATTTGTAAGATATCTGAAGACCTGTAACCTTTAACGTTAACTTTATGACATGTTAACTCAGTTTACAAACCCTGTCCATAAAATTGATTCATGAACATTTTAGCTAGCTAGCAAGAGAACCTCGCATTTCTGCCTAGCTAGCTACTAACGGTAATGTTAGGTAAACTAGCAATGTAAGTAGGAAGCTTGTTCTAACGTTAGCTGAAGCCAGAAGCAAGGCTGTAAAAGAGACAACTTACCATTAAAGGGGGTCGAGTTCGACATTGGCTCCTTGAGGTTTTTACATTCAACTTAATAGGCAGTAACATAGAATAGTCATCAAATATTTATTACAGTTTTGCAGATCACAGGAGACGACCCCAAACAAAGTCAAAGATGTGCTAGGCACACGAAGTGTTTGGAGTGGAGATAGAACGCCGTTGCCATGACAACTCCGCTACAATAGGGCGCCCATAAGTGACGTATGGAAAAGAAGAGGAAAAATGGGAGGGGGACTTGAGAAAGCAAGTTGCAGTTGATGTAACAATTTCTACACCTGGATTTGTTGCTTGTTACAATTCGTGATTTGCATCATGGTGTCCACTATGTTGCTGACTATTTCATTCAATAGCTATAATTAGGACTAACCCTATAATTTCTGTAATCTATAGTAATATATCCTATACAATATGATTTAAAATAGCCCAGAATAACATTATTATAATATGAATAGTATAACATAAGGCTATAAAATAGTTGGCAGGGGCACATATGAATTTGATCTGTACTTGACTTGAAATAGGTTCCAGTACTCATTTTGGGATATAGGATTTGATAAGTTAAGTTAAGATAAGTTATATTCTTCAAGAATCAATTGGTATATATTATTAATTAAGTCCCAAAATGTATATAGCAACTTAAAGATTATAGCTTTAAAAACAGCTGATTTAATAGGTTACTCTTGATATCTATTTTAGAATAAATGTTTATGACAGTTATCTGCTTATTGCTTCTAAAAGAGGAAGCTGTGCGTTTTTTGCTCATGGTTGAAATGAGATTGCCACATCGCTCCGGCCAAACGCCACGCCCACTAACGTTTCTTCTCCATGAAGCAATCGATACAGCAGCGGAATTAAATTCAGGATGAGTCGTTAGGCAAGAAATGAGACGTGCTATTCGGCACGTTGTGGTCCAGCCAGGGCCAAACCTTATGACTATAATGTCATGCCTCTCACTGGGTCCACCTAGCTCTGTGCAGTTTTATGTGCACTGTAATCTCAGCCCTTGACTGGGGCATGCTGCTGGAAAATGTGCACAGTGATAAGGGAATCCCATATTTTATATTCTTTAATAATGAACGAATTTGTATGCCTGTGAATGAAATATAAAGTGACGTTAGGGAGGCATGTTTGGTATTTGTTGTTCTAGCTGCACTTGCAGCAGCTTGGCTTATTGGTTCAGAAATGCGCAGTGTCACAGTCTGACGTGGTACCACGGCGTTTATCCGTGTGTTTATATCTTACACCTAACGGCGTGTTCCTTTTCTCCGTGCCTCTGATCACGACGACTTCGACTGAAGACCAGCGACTCTCCCGCTTTATGGAAACCGAGGCTGTGCATTCTGTCGTGGTCATGCTGCCTCCCAAGAACTGCCTCCCGAGGAACTACAGCTGCATAGCTGGATTGTTCGGGAGCTTGGCAGCAGACCCGAGACTAGAAGACGTGGAGGGGATGGAGCTGAATGGAACATGCGAGCCCATCGAGATGCACCATGTGGTGGATGAGAGACCAAGAGGCCGGGAATCCTTCCTCAAACCCCCGCAGAGTCCGAACCTGCGCCGGAGGTGCACGTCTCTGCCGACCCCCATAGAGAGAGCGAAACTTGAGATCTCCCGCAGCCGGAGTCCCTGCAGCCAGAAAAAGGTCCGTTTCGCCGACTCTCTGGGTCTGGAGCTCACCTCTGTGAAGCACTTCAATGACACAGACATGCCCAATGTGCCGGAGCGCATAATGGCCACATTCGACAGGGGTCCCCTCCATCTGAATCCCTTTGATAAGTTCCCCAGGGCACCTACCACCCAGTCAATTTTTATGGAGATGCAATTCAAGAACCCCGGGACCCTACCAGGCTTTAATGAGAAAGTGAAAGAAGTGAAAGTGTTGTTGGAGTGTGCTGAAGCCGACGAGTTCAGTCTGTCTGGCGTCGTGCGGGTTTTGAACATGGCTTTCGAGAAAAGTGTCTATTTGAGGTTCTCAATCAACAACTGGATAACCTTCATGGACAGTCTGGCATCATATATCCCAGAATCAAGCGACGGCGTGACAGACAAATTCTCCTTTAAGATAATCACCCCAACGACATTTCTGGAGAGTGGAGGCACATTGCAGTTTGCCATTAGATACTGCGTTGGTGGAGATGAGTATTGGGACAATAATAACGGGGTCAACTACAAAGTGCGACGCCACAGGTTTAAGATTTCCCCACCCCGTGAGTGGGAGGATGGCTGGATTCACTTCATCTAACCTGCATGCGCCCTTTGGCGTTCTCACCAGCGCACTGTGTGTGTAAAGCGCGCAATCTCTCCACGGGCACCGCTTTACCATAATGAAGAATAGCCCTAGCCTAGGCTATAGCCTCTACACATTGTGTTAATGATCCAACTGCCGTGTCCAGCTGTACACTCAGTCATTCTTGACATTGTTTGGGATATGTTTTTTGTTTCTTCACCACTGTCACATTGCTTTTGTTTCATGTCATTATGTTTGACAGATTTGACAGGATTGAGAAAGACAAGCCCTTTATTAGGAGGTGAATCTGCTATATGATCATTTGCCTTGGTGTGGGGGCTTTGTACAGTCCTGTGCCCTTTGGTGGGGAACGACCATACCCTTATGTAATGCAGGGACACGTGCCATTGAAAACGTGCCCTGAATATAACCCGTTTAAGCATCACTGTCCCTCACTAAAACGCAGCGATGCTCGACTATTTTATTTAACATCTTGTGCGATGTCGTAACTGTCAACGAATGCTTTTAAGACACTGGGGGAAATGGTTATGAAAAATACAAAGACAGCCCATCTTCTCTTTGTTAATTTCAGATAGCAAGGGACTGTGCTCACGTGTATCTCGCCTGTGCACCTATCATACCGTCTTTCAGTCCAATTCTCTCTCATCTGAAAACTCCACCGGATGGGACAGCTCAGAGGCTCAGTAACACCAATATTCGCGCTGGATAAACAAAGGAAATATCAAATTGCCATTTGTTTGACCAATTCCTCATCTTTTCATCTTCTTGGATATGCCTTATAATAACCCTTAGAAGTAACGGGGACCGCTGCTGTGCTTTTATCTGATCAATATTGGGTGTATTCAGTTTTATAGCTATTACAACACGAATATTTCAATGTTGGGGAAATAATTAATACTCTCTATAGCAATGCTCAACGAGATGATGTTTGACAAAGGAAATCATCCCACGAGCCTTGTTCGCTGGTTATAAATGCATCAGAAAACGATTTTCCAGAGGAGGCAAACCAATAGCAGTAGAGTAGACTGTGGAGCCATACAGTCTAGCAGTAGGCTAGTAGGATGATCTGGTATGACCCCCAAACATATAACATAATAATATGTGGATCTTTACCACTCTCAAATGCCAAATAATGCATATACTATATGCATTATGTTAAACACGCGGGCAAAGAAAAACTATTATACAGAAAAACTATTATACAGAAAAACTATTATACAGAATATTTTGTACAGGATCTTATGATAGATTTTTCTCTGCAGTGCATTCTGCATGTGTCTAATTGATTTCCAGCACCACTAATCACAGATCTGCCTAAACGTAATGGCATGACAGTTGATATTTTACAGCATTCCTGTTGTGACACTCTTGATCTCAACCAGTCCCAATAATTCACCAGGTGTCTTGTTGTAAACAATAGTTGAGGATAGCTCCAGTCCTAAGGTCCACTGCAGAGTCAGTCACCCTGCCTCATCTACCTTCTTCAAGTTGAGCTATAATGACAAAATCCACACGGATATCACTCCATTTTATAACTGTTATTACACAATGACAACTTACAGAGACAGATACTGCTGGACTTTTGTTTATGTTCCTTGTTGGACTTGAAATGCAACGGTTGCTGTTGAAAATTATATATTTACCTCAGATCGTTTCTAGAGTGCGGACCTGACGATCTTCCAAAAAATCCAGGTTTTTCTCCTTTTATTCAGGTTGAACAAAACAAAACATTATTTTTTTATGAAATACACTAGAACCAAAATAGTCAAACTCATGGCATTTTTAAAACACATCCAGTCCAGTAAAACAGTAGCGTTTCATTGTCAGTATTTTGTAAATAACTTCCACTGTGCAGTGTTGTCTTTTGAGGTAGTACTATTACACTGGTGATCTAAACTGCTTTTACTGATTTCAAAGTTGCAATGTTAGACTTGGCTGATGATATAGAAAAGAACAGTGTTTGTTTGGTAGGACTACATATTGTACAGTTGATACTATAGCACTGGTGCTTCATGCTGAACTCGTTTGTTGGCACATTGGCATCACAAACAGTGCCTTCGGAAAGTATTCAGACCACTTGACTTTTTCCTCATTTTGTTACGTTACAGCCTTAATCTAAAATGGATTAAATAAAAACATTTCCTCAGCAATCTACACACAATACCTCATAATGACAAAGTGAAAACAGGTTTTTCGAAACATATAGACATTTATTAAAACAAAAAACAGAAGTACCTTATTACATAAGTATTCAGACCCTTTGCTATGAGACTCGAAATTGAGCTCAGGTGCATCCTGTTTCCATTGATCATCCTTGAGATGTTTCTACA